ACGTCATTTGATTTCAACATCCGATGCGAAATTGTTGGCGATGGCGAAACAGGGATCTACTTGCACTACTTGATATTCATATATAGTATGTCTCAGTAAGTTGTAACTATATAGATGATGAAGGAGTGAAAGACCAAACAGATTTTCTTTCCTAAAAACTAATCTCCTGAAAATATTATCTTTTCAATTGCCATAGCTGTGATGAAATCAACTGAACGGATGAATGTATACGCGATCTGTTAAAAAAACACAAGGATAAGCCAATGCATGGGGTTTTATTCAATAACATTGGATACCTTGGCTTATCAAAGCGCCTGACTTTTGCTTTCCTCGGGTCCAATGAGCTGAAGTCGGAAACTGAGGGGTTCATCATCGCTTACCAGGATGCTCTTGCTATCAGCATGTCCAGCATATGCGGTCTCGGCCTATATCCATCGACATAACGCGGCCCTAAGAGTGATATATTATCATCTGCGGCACTCATGCAAGTCAATAAGTCTGATGCAGTCCTTCTCGACCACCAGAGCAAGACAATATTCGTCGTGGAGTTTTCAGCTCCTGGCGAGACGAATATCGTCCGAAAAGAGGAGGAGAAATGAATAAAATATCGAAATTTTCTCTTCGAACTCCGCAGACTCTATCCAGATAACTCTGTCAAGATGGTTGTTCTGATTATTGGAGTCTTATATAATGACATTTTCAAACTTATACAACATGATAAAAAAGATAGAAAGTTTAAATTCTCTTTTCTACATTATGATTTCCTACTACGTAGTAACGGCTGCATCTAGCTATATGTAGGTTACAATATTTACGTGAAAGAAGGCCTAAATATACGTGTTGCTATGGTAAAGATATTCGAAAATATTGAATTTTATTAGGATAAGTAGATTAGAAACCCATACATTAAAATACCAATTAGAAAACCCCTATTGGAAGACCCTTGAGAACAATGAAAAACTAAATAACTTAAACAAGATTAGTTAAAAATAAAAATAATGCCATAAAACAATCTGTTTTCTTGTAGAAGTTTCAGAGCTGGCAACTCTAGGCTAAATACTAAAATTCAAGATTCTCAATTCACCTAAAAAAATAATAATTTCGAAAGCAAGATTTTGAGATCGAACAGTAGTGTCTATCATCAACATAAAGTCGATGATTTTCGATAATTGAAAATCGATTTCCTTCAGAGTATCATTCCTCGAACTAGGCTGAAGCGGACAGCAAACGACATGTTTGTCATCGCTTCATCTGCCTGTGAACGAGGTAATCAACCGCATATCCGAAATTTTCCCAATCCCTCTCATAAGGAGAGAAAACTTTTCACATATAGTCAGTGGGCATACTTGAAGACTAGCCAGGGGAGCAGTTGTTTTTTGATAGGTGTCAGTCCATCAACCTACAGTGTAGAGAGTTGAAACTGCCCTGAACGAATTGTTCCTTTAGAATGAAATTAGAATGAAATGTTTTTTAACCACTTTTAATTGTAACAAACGTTACTGCAGTTTCGTCCTATATGGACATTCTCAAACTCTTACAATAAACTAACAATGATTCTTTACATTCGCCAATATATATCATTCAGGTACTTGACTGAGTACCTGAATTTACAGTTCACAATGCGGATGTGCCAATTTTAAAACCGGAGAGAAAATTAATCTGTGAGTGAATTTCCGGCTTTGTTTCCTGACTAACTTCTGGATAGTATCTGCGTTGAAACCATTATTATGACCTATCTGTGTAATTATATCGATAGCTAGATTGTTTGCAGACAAGTGCAATGAGAATGCTCTGTGCAACATTGAATTTTAGGCTGCTAATTTATGACTTCTGCCTTAGTGCNCATTACTTATTAGGGAATAGCGAGCTTAGTAAGCCGTGCAATCCCGGTGCATGTCTTATCAAATCCAAGTAGGTCAGACGTCATTTGATTTCAACATCCGATGCGAAATTGTTGGCGATGGCGAAACAGGGATCTACTTGCACTACTTGATATTCATATATAGTATGTCTCAGTAAGTTGTAACTATATAGATGATGAAGGGGTGGAAGACCAAACAGATTTTCTTTCCTAAAAACTAAACTCCTGGAAATATTATCTTTTCAATTGCCATAGCGGTGTTGAAATCAAATGAACGGATGAATGTGTACGCGATCTATAAAAAAAAACACAAGGATAAGCCAATGCATGGTGTTTTATTCAATAACATTGGATACCTTGGCTTATCAAAGCGCCTGACTTTTTCTTTCCTCGGGTCGAATGAGCTGAAGTCGGAAACTGAAGGGTTCATCATCGCTTGCCAGGATGCTCTTGCTATCAGCATGTCCAGCATATGCGGTCTCGGCCTATATCCATCGACATAACGCGGCCCTAAGAGTGCTATATTATCATCTGCGGCACTCTTACGAAATTGACGAGACACCGGTGTAGCCCTACGCTCCGGGGGACATTGAATCCGTTGTAGGAAACAAGAAGTGCCGAATTTATTGGAACTGTTCGTTCCCCACCCTCAGACTCATGCAAGCCAATAAGCCTGATGTAGTCCTTCTCGACCACCAGGGCAAGACGATATTCGTCGTGGAGTTTTCAGCTCCTGGTGAGACGAATTTCGTCCGAAAAGAGGAGGAAAAATGAATAGAATATCGAGATTTCCTCTTCGAACTCCGCAGACTCTATCCAGATCACTCTGTCAAGATGGTTGTTCTGATTATTGGAGTCCTTGGTGGACACAAGCACTACAGGAAAATCTTTAAGGCGCTCTCATAGCGGTGCCTGTGCGATAGTAGCGATTGACATTGGATTTGAATCGCTGGAGATTAAATCCATTTGGAAAAACGTTCTCAGGAAGTTTATTTCACATGAAGGCAGTTCTCCAGATGGAAGAGTTCTCAAACTTTCTGATATGTACCGCTGTTGGTGGAATCAAATATGCCAAGTCACTTGAACACCTCCTTTGAAAGTATCTTTTGAAGAGAAACAAATCTCCAATCTTTCTTCGATGTTCCAGGCTATCAAGGTTGCACGTGATGTTCGCGTCTCCAATCAGGTGGATGGCTCTTTTCTGGATGGAATCCAGCAACTCCAGAGTATGTTTTGGGGCAGGGGCGCTATTCTTGAGATCCTTCGCAACTACGATCGTTCGCAACACTGCGAAGGGTCTACTTGCTATTCTTGGTATTCTTGACTTATGATAACGCTGAGATCTCTATGTATTAGTGGTATGAGTATACTTAATATATATTGTCATCTTAAATTGCTCTGTAAATGGTTGTTACTGTTGGGCAATAAATGCTTTATTATTATTATTATT